CAACAGAGTAATAATACAGCCACAAGCCTCTCCCTTGGTCGCCAGGATGGTGTTGGTTGTCAGTGTTTCACAACGAGCTAGAAAAATACGTGACCTTGGGGAGTGAGCCGGCGACTCCTGCCGGGGGCCCAGCCGGCGGCCACACCGCACCAGTGAGGGTCTGCCACACCGCCTAGCACACTCTACTCTCTCAAATACACTCACAATTACATGCCAACCTGTTAAGTTTCCCCCTTACAGTAGTTCGATCGCGCGCTCTCTCCTGTCTTTTGAGGTGCGTCGTTATATCGTTTTTCTCAAAACAATGACGTAGGTAAATACACATTACGAAAAGCTAACAGACTCATATGGATATTAAATCTGCAAACAAAACAGGACAGTACCAACATCACAGAGCCCCACTCCAGTACCCACACGCAACAATGAGAATCTAAAACAAAAACAGCCTAATTGGATTTCAATAAGGCATACTGCACTCAGGGAGCAAAAAAGCTCCCATCACACATCTGCTCCCAGCATACCAACACGGAACAAGTTATCACACAGGCCATTCAGTACCCAAGTGAAGCCACCGAGCCTACATTTTAGTGTCATGCGAGAGAGGACGAAAAAAAATAAGTGGAACCTTGTTAATGTTACACAGATCCTTAAAATAAAATGCTTTCTTGTAATTCATTTTGTCGGGGACAGGCAGCCTGTATTATATATGTATGTATATATATAAATTGTCATTCAAATAATGTATACGTAAAAAAATGTATAATTATCTTATCAAATCACAGCTTTACATTATACCATCATAAGCATCCCATAAACAAACAGCTGTTTGGATTCAGTGGTTCGTTACAGTTTGACTTCCTATGTAATCCCTTGTAATCTTTACACATTAACAGCCTCACAACTGAAGGTTACCCGCAAGGAGCAGAATGAGAGCACAACCATCCCCAGCACCCATAAAGAACAAAAAAAATAACACCCCCCAACACCAATATCCACATTAAACAATCCACTTCAATATCCCGGCTGAACAATCCTCACACACATCCCATAGCCGAGCCTAGCAACAGTACACAAGTTCACCATTCTAGCCATGACAGACACACGGGGCAAGTGGGGCTGGATAACCAGTAACAAACTAATATCCACTTCACAATCCGGAGTTAACATGCCTTGCCCAGTGACACGAATTACAAAACAAAGAAGGGTGGGGGGAGGGAGGTGGGGAATGGCCGCATCTCTCGCCATATTAATAATATACCTGAAGAGACTCTTTAAAAGCAAACATAACCACCATTTAATAACCTAACTACATCACCACGAGCGTTTTAAATATTCTTGTTATTATCATTAGTATCTCATGATACCTAGTCTAACCCCGTGTTCCAAATACTTATATTCACCACACTTCACGCGTATATATACATATGTTATAAATATATATATATTATTATAAGCTTGAAATATATATCTACTTAATATATACACGTGACTGAAATATCGTTATGTCCTACAGATAGTTTCCTGCGATCTCATTACAGGATATAACTAATAATCGTCATACAAGGGGAATAAGTACACGAATGGGCGTGGTTGAACAGGCACATGAGTGGGCGTGGTTGAACATGAACATTAGTGGATGTGGTTGAACAAGAACATGAGTGGGCGTGGTTGAACATGAACATTAGTGGATGTGGTTGAACAAGAACATGAGTGGGCGTGGTTGAACATGAACATTAGTGGATGTGGTTGAACAAGAACATGAGTGGGCGTGGTTGAACATGAACATTAGTGGATGTGGTTGAACAAGAACATGAGTGGGCGTGGTTGAACATGAACATTGGTGAACGTGATTGAACAAGCACATGGGTGAATGTGGTTGAACAAGAACATGAGTGGGCGTGGTTGAACATGAACATTGGTGAACGTGATTGAACAAGCACATTGGTGAATGTGGTTGACCACAGACCCCTCGTTAAGAACACAAGGCACTTGCTCAACAATTTCCCAGAAAACTCTTCACATCTGCTAAAATATGCCATAAATCTCCATGATTGTGCCAGAGACAACATCACGAAATTTATTTGAAAGAAAAACAAGGTAACCTTGAGTTCAGGGAAAAAAATATATATATTACTAGCTCGTGACGCGAAGTTTGTCATTATGTTAGCCTCGCCTGCCTGAGGAATATAATACCAAGCGTCTTGTGTTGTGATAAGGTGATTTACTGAGAGGCGGAAGATGTTTAGCCGTTTTCCTCAGACTCCATTTACAACTATCATTTAACATTTGGTAATTTGACTAATGGCTAAACTGTAACAATTCTGATATTAGTCAAGGAAATTATAAGCCTTTCTTAATGGCGGGCAGCAACCGCAATTCTTCCCGATTTGAACATACATTCAAGAATGTCGGACTGACATTATGGGTTGGTTAATGCTTACTCCTCAACTATCCTATAAAACCAGTCGAGGAAAATATACAATTTAAAGATACATATATTACAGCGAATTCCTTCACTGGCCGGTTTAAATTCCCAAGCATAGAAAGATTGAACAAAGTGAGAGCAAATGCCACTTGCTGTCGATTCTGCCTTACTCGACGACACTGAAGGCTGGATTCAGTTTTATCCAGAGAGAACTGGTGATCAGTGTAATTTGTTGCATTCTTGCAAGACATGCTTATACTATCCCACTGAAAAGGATTAAAAAATATAGTGACTTCGGTGCTTTATGTTAATAACCTAAATAGAGAACTGACCAAAAAAAAAAGTAAAACAAGTGGATAGATAAACAACCAAAGTAGCAAATAGATAAGTCTATCATGGGGTGAGTCACGGAGGGGTGCAGCGCACATCCTGAAATGCCCAGCCTACCCTCCATCCCTCCCCAACCAACGAGTTTCTCAGCTGACGTCACACCACGAGCTCGGCCTGCATGCCTCCCCCTCCCATCCTATCCCATCCCTCCCCCACTCTCTCCACACCTCCATCACCCACCTATCCCCCATCTTCCCCAAACTCTAACCATCATCTGGTACATTTTACACCAGGTGAACTCCACATTCAAGATGCGTTTCTTATGCTTTGCCAATGCAATCTATTGCCATACAATGTGCTCGCAACATTATCAACATCTGCAACACAAATAGCGCCCTAACACACACACACACACACACACACACACACACACACACACACACACACACACACACACACACACACACACACACACACACACACACACACACACACGCACACACACACTAACACTAATCCCACACAAACACGCCTTACAAAATTACAACACACCACAAACACTGAAGATACTGAAGCACCTACTAACGCAAAATTTACTACTCTACTACTCTGCAAAATTTTTATGCACCATACCACGCTACTAACGCACCCCACCACTCTACTAACGCACCCCACCACCCTACTAACGCACTCCACCACTCTTCTAACGCACCCCACTACTCTACTAACGCACTCCACCACTCTACTAACGCACCCCACCACTACTAACGCATCCCACCACTCTACTAACGCACCTCACCACTACTAACGCACCCCCACCACTCTACTAACGCATCACACCACTCTACTAACGCACCCCACCACTTTACTAACGCACCCCACCACTCTACTAACGCACCCCACCACTCTACTAACGCACCCCACCACCCTACTAACGCATCCCACCACTCTACTAACGCACCCCACCACTCTACTAACGCACCCCACCACTCTACTAACGCACTTCACCACTCTTCTAACGCACCCCACCACTCTACTAACGCACCTCACCACTACTAACGCACCTCACCACTCTACTAACGCACCCCACCACTACTAACGCACCTCACCACTACTAACGCACCCCACCAATTTACTAACGCACCCCACCACTCTACTAACGCACTCCACCACTCTTCTAACGCACCCCACCACTCTACTAACGCACTCCACCACTCTTCTAACGCACCACCACTCTACTAACGCACCCCCACCACTCTACTAACGCACCCCACCACTTTACTAACGCACCCCAACACTTTACTAACGCACCCCACCACTCTACTAACGCACTCCACCACTCTTCTAACACCTCACCACTACTAACGCACCTCACCATTCTACTAACGCACCCCACCACTACTAACGCACCCCACCACTCTTCTAACGCACCTCACCACTCTACTAACGCACCCCACCACTACTAACGCACCCCACCACTAGTAACGCACCCCACCACTCTTCTAACGCACCTCACCACTCTACTAACGCACCCCACCACTACTAACGCACCCCACCACTCTTCTAACGCACCTCACCACTCTACTAACGCACCCCACCACTACTAACGCACCCCACCACTAATAACGCATCCCACCACTCTTCTAACGCACCTCACCACTCTACTAACGCACCCCACCACTACTAACGCACCCCACCACTAGTAACGCACCCCACCACTCTTCTAACGCACCTCACCACTCTACTAACGCACCCCACCACTACTAACGCACCTCACCACTACTAACGCACCTCACCACTACTAACGCACCTCACTACTCTACTAACGCACCCCTGAACACTTTCATATATCAATCAGATTTCTAACACGATTCTAATCCTGTACATTTCAATATGTTTACGTGTAAGTATTGAAAAGTGTATAAATTATGATTTTATTTGTATTTATAAGTATAAAGAGTATATATATATAAGTATAAAGAGTGTATACATAAGTATAAAGAGTGTATATATAAGTATAAAGAGTGTATTTATGAGTATACAGTGTATATATAAGTATAAAGAGTGTATAATAAGTATAGTGTATATATAAGTATAAAGTGTATATATATATATAAGTATAAAGTGTATATATATAACTATAATGAGTGTATTTATGAGTATAAAGTGTATATATAAGTATAAAGAGTGTATATATATTAATTAATAATGTGTGCAGATAATATACTTAGCGTAAAGTGATCACTTGAGGAATAGCGCCTCTTGGCTCCCTCCTTCCTGGTGCGTTCAGGTCACCAGCTCCTTCAAGACGCACCACACAAAAGTCGTAAGTTTCCTGGCACTGTTTCTCTCACTCTCTGGCAGGTTCTTACCTTATATATATAACTAATCTACAAAAATCACAGATAAAACAGGTTGCATGAAGAGGTTAAGGGCGCTTAACACACACCCGTCCTCCACCAGTCCTTCACCCAGACTGAGGCCGCTCCTTCTCGACAGACCCCACGACGCCGGCAAGTGGAGGCCAACTTGTACCCTCCGGTGTGTTCTTCACTGATTATTTATACAGCTACAACTCTCCTATGTTGATTACAAGTCGTTGAGCCAAACTCCAGCTGGAAATCTCTTTCCTAGTACTCCCAGAGCTATGAGATAAGAGTCGTGAATATTGAGAGCACAGGTAATATCGTACGCCAGGCACAAGACGATGAAGGCCTGTGGACCCCGCCCACCGTCGCCCCAAGAATGTGCCGCTCCTCGGGAAGACGCTAGGCTGCACGGAACACCAACGAAAAACACATTAATATGTGTTTTCTATTCGGTTTCAAAGCTCGCCAAAGATGAAATATTATTATTTATTCTTACCAGCAGCTATAGAATCAATATCTGCGGCAGTGCAGACACAGTAAGCTGGTACTCAGCACTAAACGGGATGCTCAAACATTTTTAGGCCAGGCGGAACCGAGTGACCGCTCTTAGGGGGCTGAAAAGGCAGGTACCGTCGCTGTTAGCGCCTATTTTACCGGGCTGTAGCACACACCGGTGAGCCTTACCTCTCCCAGCCTCGCTCTTACCCAACCCACTACACTTGTACACTAACACCGCCGACTCAAATGCAATCTCTATCGGCTTGGCCTCAATTCTCCATAGCTTCAACCCCATACTCATTTGACCGAGGCGGTCAACCACGCGTGGTCTTACCCATAGGCTCAGGAACCTGTACATCAGTTGAGAGGCGGGACCAAAGAGCCAGAGCTCAACCCCCGCAAGCACAACTAGATAAGTACATATTTGTCCATATGAACTGCAGTGATCCTGCCGAAGGGGGCGAAGACCTCGCGGTAGCAGGAATCGCGCTCGCCTGCTAGAGGGATGACGGTAAGTCAGTGACCACGGACTAAGGAGTTACGCTCCATTTGCCAAGGCCCCAAAGTCTGGGTAGATCAATATGGAGGAGAAGCTGTTACCCATGCAGCAGGTCCTCCCCACCTTCCCTCTCTCCATGTCTCTCCCCAACACTACTACCTAACATATGCTACCTCTTCCAACAGTTTTCCAGTAGTATACTTGTCGGCATTTACGAACGAGATACTAATGTTATAATGCTAGTTCCCAGACGTAAAATAGAACATTTTTTACATAGTAGATTTTCCCCTGCACAAAAAGCCTAATATGGATTTGTTTTAATAAATAGCCACTAATTTTTAGGGGATTTGTAGAAGTCACTTCCTTAGATGCTAAAAGATTACTTTAAAAACTATAGATTTCTGGAAAATAGAAATTAAAAACAGATGGTATACAGCGTAGCCTCATGCAGCCAGTGATTCAGAAAATCTAGTGTATGTCGTATTACAAAACTCAAAATAATTTATACAATTTCTGGCAGTCAACACATTCGTGCATACTAAATTTCGAACTTTGATTTCTTTACAAACGTTTCATATTTGTTGCTTATGAACACTGCGAAGACTTACAAATTGAACTTAGGTTGTAATGGATTCATTTACTCCCTCTTCTGATTGGTGTGATACGTCTATCATGCACCCAATAACATGACTGGTCGGTGTGATACGTTATCATGCACCCAATAACATGACTGGTCGGTGTGATACGTTTATCATGCACCCAATAACATGACTGACTGCTGTGATACGTTTATCATGCACCCAATAACATGAAGGACTGGTGTGATACGTTTATCATGCACCCAATAACATGACTGACTGCTGTGATACGTTCATCATCCAGCCCCTAATATGCTGCGGACAGTGGGGGCTGCGAACACATAATGTGGACCAGAAACTGAGCCCCAGTACACAATGTGGACCAGAAACTGAGCCCCAATACATAATGTGGACCAGAAACTGAGCCCCAATACATAATGTGGACCAGAAACTGAGCCCCAGTACACAATGTGGACCAGAAACTTGAGCCCCAATACACAATAGCACGGGCTATGGTGAGCCCGTAGTGGACTTAACGCAGATGTATACAACAAAGTTAGCCAGTACATACAGAGAGACATCATTAGAAGCCCATTTGCAGGCAGAAACAAACTGACTCAGCATGGTAATATTTGTAATTGACTATTCAGCCGTACATCAAAGATACAAAGGCGTGTGGGCAGGTAATTGGCCTCAAGGGGGTGAAGGAGGGTCTCTAGTGTGAATATATATTTGTTTTATTATTATTATTATTTTCTACCACAGACGTGGCCACACATTTCCAATGCTAACCAGCATATATACATTTTCTTCTGTCCTCCATGGACAGGGTGAGAGATTTTATTGTTGATTGGAATGTTCTAGCTCCTCGTCCCCCCTCCTTCTCATCTCCAATTCCCCCTCATCTCTCCCCTCCCCCTGCTCCATCCCCCTACTCTCCGCCTCACCCTCACTAACACTGCCAACTTGGCAAACATTATAATTTGATTCTTAAGGGTTACGACCACTCCCATATTAGCATCAATTGATTATTACATTATCAATGCATTCTTATCATTAACAATAAATTATTGTTAATTTATTCTCAAGTGTTCAACTATGTTGCTGACTCACGTATAATACAAATAAAATAATTATTATTATTCCCGAGGTCCTTATCTAATGTTTTTTTATTAGGATAGAAAATTTGTTTTCATAAGAGAAATAACTATATGTATGTTAACCTAAATTCAACACAGCAACAGATCGACCTACGTATTTAGAGGTTTAAGGTGCTTCTACCATGCTGAATTCACCATAGCAAGCCTTAATAGTTCCGGTAATACATTGGAACTAGCAGATGTCAAAACTGCCCGTGACGTCACAACTTTTTTTTTGCGAGTTTGTCAAGTATTTAAGAATTTTGTGTCCGCGTGTACACAGATTAGGATATGTTACCCTGCATTCCCACAGCCTAGCGCACCATGGACCTGTATCCCCACAGCGTTGCATATAATGGGCTTATATTACCACAGTATAGCATACAATGGGTCTGTATCACCACAGCGTAGCATACAAAGAGTCAGTATACCCACAACGTCGCAATTAAAGGACCTGAAGTCCCTATGGCGTAGCACAGAATATTTAATACAGTATGTTGACCAGACCACACACTAGAAGATGAAGGGACGACGACGTTTCGGTCCATCCTGGACCATTCTCAAGTCGATCGTCCCCTTCACCTTCTAGTGTGTGGTCTGGTCAACATACTTTAGCCACGTTATTGTGACTCATCGCCTGCATTTAATACAGTATATCATTACGCAAGCAACACTTAGTGGGCCAGCCAGAGGCTTAGGGTCCGCGCAGGAATATCCCTGCAAAAAAAAAAAACTCCATTGCTCTCTTTCATTTACATTCAATTGTTTGTTTTTGTATTTTTTCTCAGGAATATAAATCTGAAATTCCATATAAAAAAAACGTTAGAGGACATGGTTCAGATTTCTCATAGAATCACTGTACAGATTTCTGAAATATGCACAAACATAATACAATTTGAAATATGCTGTACACTATCAAGCTGTATAACGTCTGCACTATACTCACCTTAAACAACAACAAATACCAGTATATACCGAGTAAGCTGGCATGGCCAGCTTACTACTTGATCAGTCCAGCAACCAGGAGACCTGGTCGACGACCGGGCCGCGGGGAAGCTGAGCCCCGGAAGCACCTCAAGGTATGGCTGAGATAACAGGTAGAGATCTCCTGCAGGTAGACTCCTACATCTTGTAGCCCGGTTCAGGAACTTGGGGCTATCCCCTGACCTAGAGTACTTGGCCTACACTGTATACCCACAATTCCTGGGCTGATTGCTGTGGCCTTCACTCCTCTGGGGGTTGGTGGGTGAGGGGAGGGGTAGAAAACAGGTTCCTGGACCCCAACATGAAAATTACACATATCAGAGATATTTCCCATAAGCCCACGGGATGTTGATGTGACTCGTTGTGATAAATCGTATGTATATACGAATCACTTTAAGTCGCAGCCTATTGTTAACAGCGTATTGATTCCTGAGTGCTCCTCGAAAGTTACATTTTTCCCGAATGTAACATTAATATTTGAACTCACTTCAGTCTAAACAAATGTGAATCATGTGACTAGTCCAGTGATCTGGAGGACACATGTGATTAACCCAGTGGTCTGGAGGACACATGTGATTAACCCAGTGGTCTGGAGGACACATGTGATTAACCCAGTGGCCTGGAGGACACATGTGAGTAACCAAGTGGTCTGGAGGACACATGTGATTAACCCAGTGGTCTGGAGGACACATATGATTAACCCAGTGGTCTGGAGGACACATGTGAGTAACCAAGTGGTCTGGAGGACACATGTGATTAACCCAGTGGTCTGGAGGACACATATGATTAACCCAGTGGTCTGGAGGACACATATGATTAACCCAGTGGTCTGGAGGACACATATGATTAACCCAGTAGTCTGGAGGACACATATGATTAACCCAGTGGTCTGGAGGACACAAGTATCTAGCCTTAAGATCAATCAATATTGAAATATTGTGTCTACTCCCTGGTCGTGTAGATTATAAGATTGATAACATTTTACTGGTGTTAATTATAAAGGAAAATTTATTTATCTATCACGATACATAAAAATATAATATACGATATCATTTCATGGTGCATGATAAAGTTATGGATTAAATTCTCACCTGGGGACATCAGGCTTCCGGATTTCATTTGAAAATAAACAACTCTTCCAGAAGACTTTGTTAGCACCGGTGAAGTTAGTAGTGTTAACGTACATAGAAGAAACGGGTAGATAAGAGGACGGGGAGACATTTAGAAGATGATGATGGAAGTAGAATGAAAGGAGTTGTGGCGGGGTTAACACACTGAAGCACGTCTTCAGAAAGGAATGTTGC